GGACTCCAGGATCATGACCTGAGCCAAAGGCAGTCGCTCAACCAACTGAGCCACCCAGGTGCCCCAGGATTTATTTTTCCATTTAGGAAAATTATAGGTTCAACATGGCAGTGAAGAGGAATTTAGATATTTATTTATACTTAAGTGATAAATGCTCACAGATAATTTTAAATTCCTTGACCCATTAAAATGTTACCAATTTAGACTAACTAGAGAGCTGGGGAAGAAAACGAGCATTCCCTTTCTGGGAAATTTAATATTTTTTAAAGAACTAGAGGCTTGTTACCCTCAGCCTCTAAACATAAGAATTAGGCCAAAGAAATTTTGCTGAGGGTATGTAATGTACAGCATCAACATGAAAATCATTCTCTTAATTTCAAAGTAGGTTAATTTGTATAGAGCAAAATTTTACAAATCTTCTTTCCAAATTAGGTAACCTATCCTTTTTAGAAATCTGTAGTATTTTTCCAAATTTTCCTTAATATTTTCATAATTAAATGTTAAGAGCAGTTAATATTCCTAATAGATTTACTCATGGATAAATACATGGCTGAAATAATTATGAAAATATGGTTCAAGGGGGTTGACAAAGCAGAACTTTTAAATTTAAAAAATATGGTAAAAATAGGTAGCTATTCATATTCATTTATAGAAGTATGAGCTTTGAGAAAAATTTATTTGTTGTACCCTAATCACTGTTACAAATTAATCTAGGTTTTCTGTGTGTTTAAAATTTAATACCACAAATCATTAATTTTTTTCCTTAAATTGTTTTTAAGAAAATGATGGAAATTAAAATATTAATTAGATCAATAATTTGTGTTTTTAAAAATCTGGACAAAAGTCATAATATGTTCGAAGGTTGGAAAGGTGAGATAACTGATGTTTTTCTTTAAACTATCAGTTACTGACATGTAGTTAATAATACAGATATTTAAATGTTTAGTAAAATGAATATATGTTCCATGTCAAGATCCATGCTTACTATAAAATGTAATTATTACAAAACTAATTACATTACTTTATCTTTTTAGGTTCCTTAGGACCTTTTCTCCCCCATGGTAAGTTCTGGAGCTCCAACTTGTGACTTCAAATAGGGCATTGAAATGGTTTGGTTTTGTCTTAATTTTACTATATTCATAAGACTTGTTATATCTGGGATAGTGGAGAATTTTTTTTTAATACTCTTAAGATTAGGCATAAATATGAGACCTACTTTTTAAAAATATGCAGTAAATAGTCTTCATGTAAAAAAAAATAGTCTTAATGTAAATTTTAGTATAAGGGTCCTTGATATTTCTTAAAGTCTCCAAATTGTTAACAGAATATGAAAATTATCTTTCCTATATCCCAGGTTTTGAATCCCAGCACATTGGAGCTCCAAAACATACTACTGGGGGAAGGAAAGAGTCTAAACAAAATCAAACATTACTTTTTAAAGTATTGATTTATAATCTTGATAGTGAACACTACATTTAGTATAGAGATACCTTGATCGCTGGCACCAAGGGTTCTTCTTACAATAATACTTGTTTTCTGAATTAAAATCAATTAAAAACCTTATGGTTTAAAATCAGGTTTGTTTGCTTTTTCTTAAAATTCTCCTGTAAATTGTCTTATTGCTTATATGAAATAATGCATATAATCTCTCTTTGAAAATTATGCAGGATATTATTTTAGAATAACGAAGTAGACCACATCCTACTTTGCAAATTGTTATTGCAGAGTAACATATAATATAGATCCTCTATTGAGTACTATAAAATTAGGTTGGTCTTGGGAGGGAAGATACAACTTTCTGTTAGAAGTATATTTTATATCATTGTATTTACAGGAAGAAATAATCGCCACTTTAAACAATCTGTACTAATGGGGTTCTTTTTAATGGATTTTCATTGAAGATTTTAAATGTCAAAGCTACCTTAAAAATTTAGTTCGTCTTTTAAACTATAAAACATTTACATTCACGATGCTAAAATGGTTGCTTTTTAAAACCTAATCAGTAAGCATTACAACCTTTTGTGGGGATGTGTGTAGGCTTCACCAAGTTAGAGAATTTGTGTAAGAAAAGTTATAAAGGAGCACTTTCTTTTTCATGGGTTGTACACTAAGGAATATAAGAGAAGTGCTGCGTATTTTGAGTCTGTATGTCTTGTATGTGTATGATTTGAGTTGGATGTAGAATCTGTTGTGATGAAGTTTTGGATTTCTCTGGAGATTGGGTTTAAAATGGTGTTTTGCTGATCATATTATTTCACCACTGCAGTTTTTTTAATGTTATAAAAATTGAGCGCAGCTTTAATATTGACAATGCAGTCTTTATTTATAACAGTTTTTAAAGCTTATTAGCATTTTATCATAGATAAAAGTTCTGATGCTTTGAATCTCACACATATTTACTGATAATAGGCACTTTAGAAGAGAGGCTTCAAATTTATGAAGAAATTAGTAAGCAGCACCCCAGAGCAATTTCACCTAGAAGATTACCTTTGAATCTTGCCCCAGGTAATATTAGGATATCTTTTGTAACACTAATAATTATCTGTTATTCAACATCATTCACATTTAAAAAACTTGTTTCTGGTGCAGAGTTTACTTTACATCTACACCAGTCTTGGGGGTGGGAGCGATCAGTTATGAACTTATTATGCATGTGTTAATAAGTGTTTTTAGCGTATAGCTATATGTTGGTTTCAAGTATCAGAAGTTATCTATATAAGATTGTTTTTCTTACGTGACTTTAAATACTAAATACCAGATTTAGAAGATAAATTAAGTTCCCTAGAATTGATGACAAATTATATATGAGGTATTGTGATTTAAGTGGTAGAAGTTTTGAAGTTTTAGGTTTTCTTTTTAGAGCATAAATTCAAAGAAAGTGTGGTGAGCCCTTTGTGCCCACCACAGTGTTGAAGAACGTTACCATTCCCTGTGAAGGCCCTCTCTCCTCAAAGTTGTCCACTTTCCTGAAATTTGCCTGTATCATGCTGTTGTTTTTGGAGAGCTCCATGTATTTTGTATCTCTAGAAAAACAAGACAACTCCCCCTCCCTGCTTTTGTACTTTATATAATACATAATCGGAGCACTATGGTATGTATTGTGACTTGCTTTTATTGAACAGCAGTATATTCATGACCTTGATCCAAGTTGTGCATGCAGTTGAACTCCTTCGCTTTGGGGCCGTAGAGCAGATAGTTAATATCTTTGTTGATCATTTTATAGAAAATGTGCCTTTTTCTTAAAGCTGTCTCTATTTTTAGTTGAAAGTGCTATAGATTATTTATTGGGACTTCTTGCATGTCTTTTGATATAAGTCAGACCCCAGAAAGCTAATACAACTTAAAAAAAATCTACTCTAGGCATTGGGTGAGGAGGTGGTATATTTTCTAATGAATTTTCATTTATAGTAGAAATATTTGTTTAAATAATTGGGTTATAATTTTCTTTATCAAAAGATTCATGGAAAGTTTTTTAGTTAACTGACTTTAAAAATATATGAAGTACCTGTTAGAAATGTATTGTATTAGACAGTCGGTACGAGTTTGTTGTAAATGTTCATTTTCCATTAGTGCATCTTAGTTCCACTAGTGCATCTCAGATGATAAATAGTATTCTTCTGATACTCACATTTTTGTTTTGGCTTTATGAAATATTGAAAGCAGATTTCCCTGATGTTTTTCAGGGAACATTTAAGCTCAAGTGGATAGTATCAGGCTCAGTGGGGAGGGTAACTGGTATGCTGAGCTATTCTTCAGTCAAGTGAGTTGGGGAAACCTTGGGTTGAACCCAGCAGTCAGGTTTCTATGGGACTTGTTAGAACTTTCATACATGCATTGTGAATTTCTGAGATGGAATATCTTGTGCAAGGAGGAGCATTCCC